CTGATCATCTGTGTATCATAGCACAAACCCAGCCCAAGTGGTAGGTATGAACTGCACAAACTCTGGGGTCTTGAGTCTTGACTGTGACTGGGTCAGGTTGTCCCTTTCTAAAAAAAAAAGATGTTTAAGCCTTGGCTTTACAGCAAATTACATTCTTCCCCATTTTCCTTATCCTCTGGCAACATCTATGGCAGTAATTAGCCATCTCTCTTGCTCTCCTACAGGGACTAACAACCTTACCACCTCCCACCTTGAAACATCCTCTGCTCAGCAGGTACTAACCATCCTCTTCACTCAATTTGACTACCCAGATAGTGTAATAAATTAAACTCTGAACAATTGTTTCTAACCTGTAATTTGCTAAATACTGATGACTCTCAAAAAGTCCGCCTTTGCTCAAAAACGTGTCATTTTATTTTCCTGCATGTGAACTAGTCTTATTAAAAAAAAGGATCTCTCTCCCTGAAAGACTTGCTTCCCTTGTGGTCATCACAACTATCAAAACTGTAACACAAAACTTTTACATCAAGAAAAGGAGAGTTTATTATTGCAGCTATATGCTGGAATAAATATTTACAGAGTGGAAGTCTTTAATATAGACAATGCCAACTGAACTCAAGAGAAAAACTGCATTGAAATACTTTCAAAGCCTTGATTGAGGTGACACATTTAATTTCTTTCAAAAGAAGCCTGCTACACCATTCAACAACAATAAAATGGGACCTTAAAATTAATTCTGTATAAACTTTCTTACTATTTCATACTGCAGTTAGGATGTGAAGGAGACTCATCTGAAGACCCAGAGAGCAGACAAGAAGACAGAAGATAACATAAAAAGCGATTTTTTACAGGAACCAAGTATTTCTGGAATTTGAGTTCACATGTCTAATCTAAAGAACGTAAATTCAGTTTGTGTGTGACTCACTCTTTCATTAAATAATTGCATAGAAGCTTTAAATTAATCCAACTTAAACCTATAGGAAGTTGTCACTAAATAGTTACAACATATTTTATTTAAGATCCTTACAATCTGATTGCAGTGCAAACAATGAAAAATATATCTAACTCCTGGTTCTCTAAACCCTAGTAGAGGCCTTCACAAATTACCAGCCTGATATTCACAGAAATATCAACACCTGCAATAGCACTTTGGTAGAATGAGATGTGCATAGACAGGTAAACTCTTCTCAAGATGAAGGTATCTCTAATCAGAGTAATAAAATAGCATGTTTGGATTCTCTATAAAGAGAATGAATTATTAGTTTACATCCTCCTGTCACTAGATATCTTTCCTTGCTCTTTGATGCTGGCAATTGGTTATTTCCTTGAGGCACTACAGTGATGCATCTACATGTCACCACATCCCTTACTGTACTGAATTGTCACTCCGACTTCACATGGCAGGCCAATGTAGAAATTCAAGCGTATCTGAGGGCTGACAAATTCTACTTTACAAATACCCTGCGTTCTTCTCAAGTCACTGCAGGGTTTGCTTTGCGAAATAAGCATACAGCTGCAATTCTTATTAGCCAAAGGTAATAGAAGGGAAAGTAGGATAGGGTTTTCACCAGTTTGAGTGAGTATGTAGGGTGGAGCATTGAGAAGATCAAACATAGCATTTTTTCGTAACCTCTTAATTTCTTTTCTTCAGCTAGACAGTGGATTCTTTTGGCATCACAAATTCATGGCACATAAAAACACTTCATACCTTGGCCACAGATCACATTAGAGCAGTTTATAAAGGTGCACCCAAATCTAGTAGTAAGTAACCACTGGTGGCCAGGATACTATAGCTATTTTCAGGATGCTATAGCTATTTTTATCTTCAGTACTCCTCAGTGAGATGTATTTAGTAGTTCTCAGTGGATTTCTCTTCCCATCTTGTCCCATCTCCTCCTGCATCTACGTACACCCTTAACAAGCAAAAAAACCTTCAACAAGGACTCCACCATCACAGATATCAACAGGTCAAATATCCTTCTGCGAAGGACAATTCCGCTTCTGCGTCTTGTAAATGTGGCTCCTACTAGCATATTTCCCTGCCCCTAACTACTTGCCCAAGAAACATAACTGCTGTACAATTGCTCATAATGGGCAGTCTGCACTTTTTTGTGCTGAGAAGACAGCTAGCAAATATGGCTTATTTTAAGGCATTTTCTGAGGTTTCCCAATGGTCCAGCCCTATTACCGTGACAGTGATAATTACAGAAATTTACCTTCTCATAACCTCTTTCAATCAAAAGCAGTAATTGCTTTGGAGAGCAAATAAAAGATACCCCATCATTTCTCCACGCTCAATGATCTAGGGGGAAAAAAATATAAATCACAAAACCCAACAAAACAGGATAGACTGTCCAAATAGATAGGGCTACCATGTGGAGAGGTTAAGTATCAGTCAACATAAAAATGGAATTCTGAAGGCAAGTTTCAGTTCAAAGAGACAGGCTGCCTTGTTATCCAGAGATGTCTTCTCAAGGGGATTTACTGCAAGTCTGACAACTGCAAATGAGTTACAGAAAAGAAAAGGCGGAATGATAATCACAGCCACCACCCAAGAGTATGATACATAGTACAGTTCTCTGTTATTGACAACCTGTAGTTTCTTCCTCTGACTTTAAATGCAGCTTGTTTGGGACTATTATTTATATGGATGAGGAACTACATACGAGGAAATCTATACCTCCAAAGCTGATGTATCATTCTCCTGCTTGTGTGAAAGATGTCAACAGTAAAAAACCAAAGTTGATGGGTGTAAAAACCCGTAAGTTTGACTCACTGACTGTGTCAACATTCACAAAGGCACAGAGAATGAAGCAAACTGAGTGTTACAGTCTGCCTCCCTTTTGGAGGCAAAAAAAGTAAAATAAGGTCTCTGAGCATTAATGGCTTTCTAATCCCAAATTGGCCAGTTTGTCCTCAAATATCTTTTGTTAGAAGACAAAGGTATTTTGGGGACTAACACAGAACCATCTCTGCTGATCTCCAATTTGTGGGGAGGGAACATGGGTACACAACACATTCTTGGAAGAAGTGGTTCCCAGTCCCTGCTATATTTAATTATTCTTCTGTGCTGTTCCTCTCATGCATTTCTGCTCCAGACCACCTTAGCAACTACAAAGACATGAAGCACAGAAGCTTGCAGCTCCCTGGGGCTATAGATTCTCAATGAACTTTGAGTAAAAGCATTTAGTGCAAAAGTCTGGCAGGCAAAAGATTACATTTAGTAAGAACAAGTTGTTTTAATTTGAGCAAGTAAATTGCTAAGGAGTGGAGAAGAGCAGGAAGATGCAAGATGGAGATCAGCCTGTGAAAGCTGGAAGTACCCAAGAGTTGTTGGAGGAGATAAATAGCTGTGATGGAAAGGATGTTGGAAAACAACAGATTTACGGGGTCTGTTTCCTATAGAAGGATGTTCATCTAAGATTCTGAGGCATTATGACTGTGGCAACCTTTCCACACACTTTGCATACACAAGTGCCACAGACACAGCACACAGCAGTTCATAAATCTTGCAAAATGCAGTACAGCAGCCAGCCTTTGAAAACTATTGAATTAAAACCATCACTTCTGTGAGGCAGACTGAACAATGGGGGCACATCCCCACTACCTTCAATTGACAAAAGAAGCAAGATTTCTAGACTTTCAATCTAGCATTGGCTGAATCCAGTATTGTAATAACAGTTTCATTGCTTGTGGCCACATTAACCCAGACAATACCCTTCAGAGAAGAAGTGCATTACAAAGTTTTTCTTCTCCCCTTTAAGAAGGCCTTCCCATTACTCAGCTGGCAAAACAATGAACTGTTTAATGACCTAAGAAGCAGACCAGGGCACTTTACTCCCCTTAGAAAATAAGTTGAGAGGGAGAGCAATGTAACACAGTTGGTAAGATTTGTGCCTTAGAGTCCTGAGTCAGAACAATCAAACTTGAGGTTGTTAAAGCAAATTCTCCAGTCCCAAGCTAGGTGAGCATCCTTGAGGCAGTCCTGACTGCCAGCAACACAATGTGGAACTTCTCACCTTTCCATTTTCCATTTCCCTGTATATTCAGCCTCACCCTTGGCAGGAAAAGTGAGAAAAGGAAGGACTTCTTGTGGTTTTCTGGCTTGTTTTGTTGCTTCTTCAGTCTGTTTATACACATTACTACAAACTAGAGAAGCAGTTTCACCTCTACATTCTCCAAAGACACAGTATTAGCCAAAAGGCATATATCAAAGGATGGTGCAGGAGTGAAGCATAAGCTTTATGCTAAGCAAAGCGCTGAATTATTTACAATTTGTCAAGGCTGCAGGGGAGTGTACTGTTCCCTCTTCTTATGAAATAAAATGTTCTTTATTTTGCTCATGATATATTTAAATATATCTGTAATTTTAGGACATTGTTGTGATTTGAATTTACATTTATGTTTTATGTTAGCAGGCTGGATAAGACCATAGTTCCTTTTGCTTTACCTATATATACTAGTGCACATTTAGACACACTAGTGCTAAGTCAGTGGTTCTCAGAACTGCCAATACACTGAATATAAGGGGCAGCACAAAGGAAAATATTTCCGATACTAAAAGAAACATTTATTCTTCTCTATAATACTAACTCAAATAGCAGAATAGAATTTTGCTACTACTGTACTACACAACAGTGATGGACCGTTGTTCAGAAAATAAGATTTTTATCTGAGTTAACCAGAAAAAAACAAAAGTGTCTATGAATTCCATCACTCCACCAAAATGACAAATTTTAATCTTGGGAAAGGAATTCAAAAGTTTGTCCAAGCAAATTCTAATACACCTGGAAAGTCAGAGAAATGTATTAATTTCCACATGTGTCTTTCAATAACTCCCACCACAGCAGTCAGTGCCGGCTGGTGTTAGCCTCAGCAATATCATCTTAAGAAGATAATTATGCCCATAGCTAACTAAATCTGAACTCCACTCATTCAGTGCACCCAGCAGCACCAACATTATGGAAGTAAAAAAGCAAGCATACATTATTGTCTCTTACCACAGTATAGATCTGAGGTTTGCGCCTTTTTGCTAGGTCAATTATATTGACTCCATTGTAATAAAGGTTCTCAATGCATCCATGGAAATTTTTCCTCTGAAAGGTTCCTGGTTTCCCTGGGACAGGAATCCCTCCGAAACTGAGCTTTTGGAAAGAATAACAACAGTATTTAGTTATCACCCTAAATGCAAGAGGGCAGAGCCCCACTCCATGCAACCAGCTGGGACATTATCTAAGAACCAAGTCACATTAACAGAATTATCTTGGAGTACGAAGCAAAGCCTGGCTGCCCAACAAGGGAATTACAGGCCACACAGCATTACAGCTGTTGGAGAAATGCTGCTGCCACAGGCAGCTCACTAATTTGGAAACAACTTTTAAGAGCCTTGACACATCACTTCACCAACCTAGTACCACCAGCCCCCCCTTCCCCAAATCACAGCGTTACATTCAAATGGTCTCCAGCCAATAGCCCCCACCAGCCTAGAAGTTGCCACCCAGCAGCAGACCACAGTGGCCAGGAATTGCTGAGCAATGGGGGAATAAACTCTTCCCGCCCACAGAACACTGGATTTGCCTTGAGCCGGAGGCACCTCTTTCCACAAAGCATATATCTGAACAGTTCTGTTTTCATACACTGGAGGGTAGTATCACACACACAAACTACCCCGTTTGCACTTTGCAATCGTTTTCCCTAAATTTCCCTGTGGTTTGGTCTTTCCAATGGATGCACATGGTATATGGGACTGAGCAGTGTAATGGAGAAGTTCTGCAGGTTACACATTTAAAAAAAACTGCTGTGCTGTTGTGTGAGTACTGAAAAATGTAAGTATTGTGCAGATTACAGCCCGTCATTTAATGGGGAGCTGAAAGCCCTGGGAGAACAAAGAGCCCAAATAAAAAAAAACCTTCCAAAATCACTGGAGCATAATTATTTTATATGACAGATTTCTAATGAGCTCCACTAGCCTTTTTGGTAAAGTCTTATGGAGGTACCACTGAGTTTTTATTCATTTTGCCATCGCAGCCATCAGCATTGTGAGTGATAGAGTACGAGCTGGGATCCTGCAGCCACCACCCTTCACAGTGCTTCCAGCACACCAGGAGCTGTGCTGCAATCCTGCAGCATCCACTGCAGCAAGGGCATGCACTGCTGTGCGGCACTACTTATGCGCTGATGACTGCTGGAACTTGGTCAGCATTATTTCTCTGTCATGACTCCTAATGCCTCACCTCAGCTCATTATTACAAAAATAAAGGGCAATTTGGAATTTTTTAACTTCCACTCCAACTAACACGCTAGGATACATAAGCAAATGAAAGCTCCCTGGATAACCTTGAAAGCACTTCTTTGAAAATAAGTCCTTAATAAACTTGCATCTCAGTTGTCCTAATTGATCACTTCAGAGAAATAAAGAGTGAACAGACTCCTACTTTACACCACTTGCAGGTTTGTTATTGGCATAAGGCCTTATGTGGTAGCAATGTGGTTTTTTTCGAGTAAGAATCATTAGTTCTTCCTTAGCACACCAGACTTTCCTTCTTTCATGTTCTATTCTTTCAGTCTCCTGCTTAGGGACTGTGTACTGGGTTTCAAAACCAAAAGAAAAATCAATATCAATTATACCACTGCATTATCAAGAAAACAGTTTCCTTTGTGATTGGTAATAATTTTAATTACCAAACTAATAGTTTTATTACCCTCAGCAAGGCCTTTAATGCCTAAAGTGTGCTGAGAGAAACTTTCAATAGACTGTGTTGCTGTAATGTTCAATTGAAAGATTGCCTCAGTGCAAATGGAAAGAAAACACGTTGTGTGAAAAACTAAGCACCAGGGGCCAGGATTGAGTGCCACAGAGGTCAGTGGTGATACTGATTTACACCAGCTGAAGATCTTCTCTACCATGTTCCCTGTTTTGGAACATCTGGAAAAATTGTCTGTAAATTACACTGGAGCTTGAGTTTTCCCTCACTGGCATCAATCTTCTATCTGGAAGCAAGGAATTGTATTACTTTGAAATTAGGAAAGCTGATGACTTAAAGATGGTTTTTCTCAACTCCATTTTAAAAGCAGTTACAGTTTTTGCCCTTGCTAGTTCAGTCTGAACCTGTTCCAGAATCTCACTGCTCAAATGTGCTATCCTTAATAAATGCGCTTGTGATTTGGTAGAGCAGTGCCAGGGGGCAGGTACCATTCTCTCCACCCTGCTTTGTGAAATGCAAAGAAGGGAATTTCAGCTGGAAAATGGGAAGAGCAGAGAGCAGTCACCTGCCACTGCTGTTCTGTCTGCTTTTGTCCCTTGGGCGTGCTGAGAATTGATCCTTTCCAGAGAAATGAACCCAAAGTGCAGGGGGGAAATTTGTGGTGTCTTAAGCAATGAACCATGCCAGCTCAACACATCCAGACAGGGTGATGGCTCTGATTGTGCAAGCACAACCCCGTGATTTGTGGCCTAGCAAGACTCAGTTGACAAGTGCATGGGGATAAAAATGAACCTGGGTAATTCACACACAGGTGTGCACTGGTTAAGGGGGATGGATGAGGAGCTGCCCTGCATGTAGATATGAGGACATAGAAGTTTTTTAATGTGTTTTTCTACTGCCTATCAGCCATAAACAGCAAAATGCTGAAGTGATATGAACTGCAGTTTGCCACATCTTGACCTCATCACAGGGGAGCACACCAGCCTCAGGTTTTATGGGTAGGCAGGTTGTTTCTCTGTTCAGTCCTCCCTTGGCTGAGCTGCTCTGGCTCCCTAGACCAGGACATTCTGCATCACAACCCTATATGTGAAGGGACCTGGGTCAGAGCTAGTTGTCTTGACAGTCATGTTCAGGGCCTTCCATTCTTAATGGGAAGAAAGTGGTCTTTACCTGCTCATCTCTATGTGGAGAGCTGTAATCCAAGCAAGTGGCAGCTTGAAGCACAACTCAGAGCTGGTATCCCTATGGTCATGTCAACTGGATGCAGGGATGGTACACAATGATCTCATTAAAATCATATTGGAGCTGGTAACACAGCACCTCTCCCTACAGATAAGTGCAGTTGCTCCCTGAAGATTTAACTAGAACCCAGGCTATATCTTTTAGTTTAGCTCAAGCTCTGCCATACTTTGAGGTGTAAGCATAATCTAATGTGTATTTGCCCAGAGACTGAGACTATCATATACAGAGTTGCACTGACGTAGTGTTATGTTTGTTAAGTATGAAAGGAGCTCTTTTGGAATGAACTATTAAACAGAGAAAAGACCTTGCTGAAAGAGACAGCTCATAGGGTGGTGGTTTTTCATCACATTCATTTTATACCTATTCAGCCTCTTCTCCCAGTTATAACCTAAGGGGCTTCACACACCTCATAATCAATATCCAAGTGATCTGAATCCCCCTTCGTTCGGAAATGCTGGGTGTGCTTGTCCACTGTGAAGTTTACTTGCTTGTTGAAGCGCTCTATGAGAACCGAGTGCCAGTGCTGGTCATCCAGGAGGCTGCCCAGGGTGACGGATGTATGACTGTTACTGAAGTGCAGGTTGGAGTCCCCTGAAGGGGCAGAGACAGGCAGAAGACACCAGAGTTACCTCCAGGACCTTAACTGAAGCATGGGGCCTCAAGGGAAGCACAGAACAGTGCTCCTAGATGCAAACTGAAGCTCTGCCCATCAGAAACAAACCCTTGTCAAAACTTGCTTTAGATTCTTTGGGCCTCTTATTTATATATGTCTGTATACACACACGAACACATACACACTTTTTTCCCCTCTGAAATTCCTGTGATGAACCAAAAGGTTTTCCTGATGCTGCTCCCCACATTGCAGCAAGCAAGGGATGCTGCTCTGCCTGTGCCCTTGGTTCTATTATGCATTTGAGGCCCTGGTGTTTTAACACCTCCATTCAGGCTGCACAAAAATATTCTGTCTATTCACTCACACTAACAGACCACTCCTGACACTTCTGTTTCAACTATGTGATTTCTGTATTTTAACAAGAAAATTGCACCTGTCCATTTTCAGAGAAAAAAAAAGCCACAAGTCAATGAAGCAACATGAACACAAGTGCTTTGTTCAGCTCAAAAAGATTCTTAAACCTGGCCTAAATCTCCAAGAGGTTAGATCGAGAGTCATAAAAATATTGAGACTCTAACCCTGGTAATTTCAAGCACTCTTCTGTTTTCCAGCTGTCTACACATCTGAACACTTCTGAGCCTCTTCTTGAAAAGGAGTATGTGTCCTCTTTTATATTCCAGAAGAATGGAGGTAACACTTGCTCCAAAACAGTCTGGCAAGATGCAAGCAGATTCAAGAACAGACATTAAAACCCTTGCCCATGACATGACATATGAAGGCACACAAAGCACTTCAAATGTTTAAAATCTGTACATTTGGGGCTACACCGGAAAAAATAAAAAAACCCTCATCTCAGAGTGTGTGTATTCACAATAGCATCTCTTTGGAAGAAGTAACACAGTGTATTTAACTATACTATTCTCCTATCCTAGTACGAAACATTTGTAAAAGGAAGACAAATCAATGGAGACATTCAGAGGCTTGGGATGTAGCTACATGGTTCAAGTAACATCCAAATACCAAATCAGAAAAATGCTACATTATCATTTCTATGCTTGGATGAATTAAACAAACAGAAAGAAAATACTAGTTGGAGACTAAACAATTAATGAGCTTCCGTAAAAATGGCATTTAAAACAAACATAATTAGGCATGAGGGGAAAAATGCAGAAGTATCTATGAACTCTGTTTTAGTACCTCTAGTTTGCTCCCACTAGATTATGATTACTTTTAATTCCCCACATCATAAACAGTGGGCTGAGATACTAATAATATTGCCTGCTAATACAGTACATTACTAGATGCTACATCTCCCACTTTTATTAAAAACAGCCTTGGCAGTCTAAGCACCATGTCCTGCATGACATCACCCAAGTCTATTCTCTTTTGCTTCCCCTACCACCTTCTCTGATGAGTATTTAAGCTGTGAGCTGTCTGAGGCACACAGCATGCTTTGTTGATGTCAGCTGGAGTTTCTAGATACTGCCTAATATAAATAAGATATTTATAAAAGCAACCAAGACAATCCCTATTACAGTAAATGTGAACCAATAATCCTAATTACCCTTACCCAGGCTGATGTGCAAGGAGAGCTTCCCTTTCTGCAGTTCCAAGGTAATGTAGTCTCCACGCTGTCCTTCTCCATGGAATAAGACACCATCCCCTTGCATGCTCTTGAACTTCAAAGAAACCACATCTTTGAATGTGCTCATAAGCTTCTGATTGAACCTGTAGAGGAGTGAACTTCTGCCGTCGAAGTCTGCAATATCTGACTCTGGGAGAAAGAAGATGGCAAAATGAAAAGGAGTGCATCACGAGAGGGAGTGTAGTTTTTCAGGATCTTTTCAAATATCACTTGCAGCCAGGTTTTCTCAGAAACATACATCCACAGGATGTACGTGGCATTTGGGCAACCATATTTCACCCATTTCTATGTGGGGAACGGGAACACTAGGATAAAAGCAGAACTCCTCTGCACTTGTTGTTCTCTCTCTCATGCATGACTGCTTTCTCACTCAACTTTTTAGAACAGAACAGGTGCCTTCCATCATATTCAGATCTCAAACATCCCTTACCACATTTACTGTTTGTCTCAAAACACACCCAGGAGGTTATTCATTACTTTGAACACTTCAGTTCTCACCCCACTTTCTGTAGCTTCCAAGCATCTGTTGAGCTGTTTCTGTGTGCCAGCTATGCCTGCATCCACCTCTGCATCTAAATAAGCATCATCTTGGCCTCTAAGGGTTGGCTGCTTATTTGAGATGGGCATTTATCAAGCATGTTTCTGCATGTGTATTGACTAAGCTGGCAGGAATAGTCAAATATCAATTCAAAAAGCTTTTGAAGGGATTCATGGGAACTGGGCATCTAAGCTGATTATACACCTTTGAAAATCCTATTAGAAACATATTTTCCCCTTCAGCCAGCCTCTAAAACCTAATCACTGTGATAGAAAACAAGCTTTCAATTCTTCAGTTGCAATTGTTAATATTTCCTTTGGCAGAAGCAGCCTGCAGTACTCTTTTTGCTTTATAAAGTAATATTTTAAGCAAAACATATTTTTAATAAACTTTTTAAAA